CTGGGGCTTCCAGGCCATCCTTACCAGGCAGTCACCGAGCTTCCAGAGTTTCTCCATCTTCACAAGCTTTTGGAGATCCTTCCTCTTCAGGAAGTCAGCTGCACAAAGCAGTGTTTTGTGAGCAGCCTGGAGAGCAGCAGAAATCCAGAGATAGCACCTCAGCTCAGGGCACAGGACCCACATCACTGTGCCAAGGCCCTGAGGAGGCTGCAGCCCGTGAGGCGCCACAGCAGGAGGCAGCCGAGACCCCTGTCATGGGGACAGCAGCAGCCCACGAGTCATCACCTCTGCCACACTCTGGTTCTCATCGTGGCAGTGGAAGAAGAGTGGAATCAGACTCTGTTGCACTGGTGTCTTCAGGGGATCTTTTCCGTGTTCTTTAACAAGTGACATCAGAGCTCGGAAGACAAACATGGAGAGCAGCCGCACCTGGCTATCATCCTATCCGAATGGAAATAAAAATGATCTCAGCATCAGCTGCTCCAGGCCCACCTGGGCACAGACCTGAAAATGCACAGGGCACAAAGTGTCCAGGCAGCACTCAGTGCCCAGGGCACACAGAGCCTTACTTTGTCAAAGAGTGGCACGAGCGACTCAGCCAGCTGCAGGGCTATGGGGCTGTCTATCGGGGCAGCGTTATCCAGGATTAAAGAGCTGAGCACCATGACTGTCATCTTAACTATGTCGTCATCGTTTTCTTGCAGGAGCTCCACAAGGCTTTTGGTCAAGCGCCACATTCTTTCGGCCTAATGAGGGACACAAGGCTGTGCAACCCCACCCCTTCTGCTGCAGGGCCCAGAACCCAAAGGCCTGTCCTGAAGTGCTCGGGCAGCCTAACCGCAAGGCAGGAGAGCTGGGAGCAGCTGCCTCAGCTCCCAAAGCCCAGTCAAGCCCAAGCGACCGCGTTCCCCAGCCCCACACTGCCAGCACGGCTTCAGCCACCGGCCCCATCTGACCATGGTGTGATGGTCCAAGAGCACGAGGAGGGTCCTGAGAACCTGGCGACGCATCTCTCTGCGCTCACTCAGCAGGTGTCTTGACATGAGCTTCATGATGCTATCACCACATTCACTGAAGTCCCGGGTCTCGAGGACCTAAAAGGCACAGGGCAGTGACAGGGGACCTGGCTCGCAGGAGACTGGAGCTGCACAGGGCTGGGCCCCAGACAGCTGCAGCTACAAAAGGGCAGAGAGCTGAGAGGCAGCTGAGCGAGGCTATGCTGCTCTACAGTCTAACCTCCACAAGGAACGCCATGGCCGGGAAATCCCAGTATGGCGTCTCTTTGCTGAGTGTCTCAAGGAGGCAGCATAAGATGCTGCAGCACAAGTGCATGGATGCACGGCTCATCTCCCTGGAAGGTGGAAAAAGGCACTAAGACCCTGAGGTGGGCTGGGCAAACCTCTCCCAGGTCTTACTCACAGAGCTCTGGTCTTTCTTCACCACCCTGCAAGGGGCCGTGGGTCCTTTGGGAGGTGGCTCCCTGTGGGCACCCTTCTCTTCCATCCTTTCCAGTTTGCTTGGGGATCCTTCAGTGATGAGGGCCTCTGGCCCACGACCACAGGGATTGTGTGGGGCACCCCRGGCACAGGGCACAAATGCCAAAGGCAGTGGGGAGAAGGGCTCTCACCTGGCCAGCAGACCCACGGCATAATGGTGGGTGTCAAGACAGAGCAGTGTGTCCCAGCCACGCTTGCGTTCCATGGACACCACCACATGCTCACACTGGAGAAGGCAGAGCAGGGTCTTCAGGGTCCGCACTGCAAACCTGTGTGCACAGCAAAGCTCAGGTCACGCTGGCAGCGCTGGCTCGTGCCCTGGGGACATAGGAGGGACAGGAGGACTGGGATGGAGCACCTGCTGGGGTCGGTGTCAAGGCCGTTTTGCTCCTGGAATCCCTGCCAGAAGGTTTTGACCTCATCTGGCATATCCAGTGTGCTGAAGTACACTTGGGAGAGCAGATGCACAAAGAGGCGGGGGAAAAACACTATCAGCACATGTGTGCCGCAGGACTCATGGAGCATCTTCCACATCACCACAGTTGCCTGCAAAGTACAAACCACCCTGAGACAGYGCTCAGTGCCGCGGTGTCCATGTGGCAGGGCCTGAGTGTCAGAAGRAGAGGCCAGGGGAGATGCAGGGGGAGCAGCAGGCCTGGTGCCCTAGGGCAGGTTTCCGCCCAGCACCTGAGGCAGGGAGCTGCASTGGGGGAAGGTGCATGGACAGCTGCTGGAGAGGTGACCTGGGGGTGAGCAAAGGCCAGTTCCAGAAACTCACAGACAGGGCAAAGACATCTGTGTTGTCCCCATCGGAGGTGCTCGTGCTGTGCTTTGGCCAGTTCTCCAGCACGCTGAGGAGTATCAGCAGTGCCGGCTCCGCAGTCCTGGGCGAGGACATGATCGTCCTCCACATGGTCATAGCAGCTCTGTGGGGTCAGAGCTCTGTCTCAGAGAGGTCTCGGACACAGCGCCATGGCCTGGGCAGCTGTGGGGCTCCGGGCTGGCTGCCAGCCCTGCCTGTGCCAAAGGCCCCTCGCCAGCAGCACCCAGGCAGCCCACCTCTGTGGGGACAGGCCTCTGAGGGACAGGGAGGGAGCATGGCAGCCGGCTCGGGGGCTGACATGCCAGG